GGCCGAACATTCTCTTATTTGAAGCCCAATTCGTGGTTATTAGGTTTAGGACTTAGGGTGTTAATTTCCTATTCTGATTAGGATTTGTTTTCTCTATTTAAAAGGCTTGCAACCCTAATGGGGAGGATTGAATCTGAGATTTTGAGAGACTTTTTCTTTTTGGTTCATTTCAGAACTTTACAGAACTTATCAAGATTATTCTTGTGGCATTCTAACCTGACTTATCATTCTCGTTCTTAATCGTTCGAGGGTGTGGCGTCAACCAACTTTATACCTCTGGTTCTTGTTGCGTCATAGACAATGGGTCAAGGTTTTTACCTTTGGTTCTTGTTGCGACATAAACAATGGGTCAAGGTCCTATTATAAACCTGATTTGGCTTTCTTGGAGTTTAGAAATCCCTTGTCATGCTGTGGGTCTCATTGTTTTTCTTTGGGGTTCTCATCACAAGAGGAACCCAAGTTCCAGGTTCCATGGGGAACCTAGATTCTGGGTTTCGCGAGGGACCCATCTAGGTTCCTCACATAACCCACATGCTAGGTTCATGGAACCCAGATATGGGTTCCTCAAACCTAGTTTCTCGGTTCCCAAGTTCTGGGTTCATTACGAAACCCAAATCATGTTTGATATTTGGGTTCAAAAACAACAAATGATAGGTTAATGTTGTTGTGTTCATGTTGCTTTGAATTTCATAACTTGATTCATCTATGACTTAGGTTCAAAAGGAAGGAAGAAAGAGTTGAAAATCTGAAATTAAGGAAGGAGTAAAGAGAAGGATTTGTTTTGTAGGGGGGAAGTTAGGTTTACAGTATTGATAAATCATTTTAATTAGTAATTAATTTTTATTTTTATCAATGAAAAGATTCCTATGAATTCATTTAAAGGGTTGATTATGAACAAAAAACAAGAATTTTAAAAGAAAGAAGCTGAATTCTGGAGAGGGAACTAAAAAAATGAAGAAAATTTATTGTATTTCAAAATGTGTTTTTTCATGCAGGGAGCGTGACATGTAGGGGTATTATTAAGTTCACGTAAGCGCTTTTACATGGTGGAATGTCCATGTCAAATTTTTCTGTTAAAATAACATGTCATGCGAACAAAAATTGATGTAAGGACCAAAAAAGGATCGAATTTTTGACTTTATGGACCAAAAAGAGGATTTTTTCAGTATATGGATCAAAAAGAAGTTTTTTTTAATAGTAGAAGAACCAAAAAGGATATTTAACCTATATTTTTTGAATTTGAACTTTTAAAAAAAATTAAATGCAAATAACTGCACTTAACTTCTTTTTTATCGTTTATTTTTTAAAACTACAATTAAACTGAAGACTTATAATAATCAAATTAAACACCCTTCCAACCACCGACTTAATAATTTTTCATTATTAAGATCTCAACTTTTAAATTTATTCAATAAAATCAAACATGACAATTAATTATTTTTTAAAAATTTTAAATAAAAAATTCAAATTTAAAACTTTTAACATCAAAGGGATAAATACCCACCCGGTGCTTGGATTGGATCAAGTATTCATGACTTCTTTAACAATTAAAATTTTCCCAACTTAACTAATATTTTAAAATTATCAAAAAAAATTAATTAATTTTAACCAATTCAATTTGGGCTCAACTTCACTAACCCATGAGTCCACCAAATTTAACTCATTTTAAATTTCGAGTTACTATGAACCCATGACCCGATACATGACAGATGGGTCAAGTCGGGTCTCATCGAGTACTCAAGTGAAATCCAATTAAAATTTTCCCAACTTAACTAATATTTTAAAATTATAAAAAAAAAATAATTAATTTTAACCAATTCAATTTGGGCTCAACTTCACTAACCCATGAGTCCACCAAATTTAACTCATTTTAAATTTCGAGTTACTATGAACCCATGACCCGATACATGACAGATGGGTCAAGTCGGGTCTCATCGAGTACTCAAGTGAAATCCAGTTTCGCCTAGTCTAGATGGCAACCATACAAGAGTGTCTTTTACAACGAACTTCCAGCTGGTATGACAACGGCTCAAGAAAAAGCAACTAATATAATTGTTTACACCATAAATTGCATTTTTAGTGATACCATATGTTAATGGATAAGGTGAGATCAAATTTATTGTAGGGATGCATATTTGTAAAAATTGGTTCTGAGACGGTGAAGATTATCTAGTTTGTTGCAATTTGAATTTAAAAAGAAATAGAAATTCCTGCAATTTGAATTTAAAAAGAAACAAGAGTTTCTAGAATTTAGGAAAAAGTTCAGTTGAGGAATTATTCGTGATCTAAACAGCTAGCAGTGAAGTAGAAAGATAATTTACAAGAAGCGTATAAAAAAAAGCTTTTAGATTTTTCAACAGACAACAGCCAACCATACACAAAACTCAACAAATTTTCAATTCGTTAGTTTTCATAATGATTGCTCACCTTAGCTTGTAGATTTCAATTTTAACACAAATCTTAATAGATTTAGGTTGTTTTCAATATTCAAGTAGCCAAATTAGTTTGTGTAATTGCTTCTTTGATTTCCTTTCGTGCAATAAACATCAAGTTTGCTTTAATTTGCATTTCATTCAATTCATTTAGGATTTATTAACTTTAAATCCACGATATTAGTAAAATCCATGAGATTATCCAAGGTAGATTAACAACTCATTCTATAAGAAGGCATAATTTCCTACAAATCGTTTGAAGGGCGTAGAATTAGATCTTAAACCAACATTCTTTTAGCCATCCTGACGGAAGTTGACCATGTGAAAGGAGAGGATCGTTGGAAAAAATCATTTTTCCTTGCTTTTAAAAAAGTAAATGATACGTTAGCATTCAAATTCCACACGAGCCAAACCACTTGAGAATTTTTGAGGAAACAATAACATTTTAATGCCTTTACCAATGCCGATGCGTATGTCCACCGCACCAATGTCATATTAGTATTCAATAGCAATTCAATCGTAGTTGGTATTAACAGCCCAATATGGTTTTTTGAGTCACTCAGATTTGTTTCAGGGCCATCATATGTCCCTCGGCCAAGACACGACAAGCAACCCCTGAATTCAACACAACATGGTGGCATGTCCAATTAACCAAACCAAAAGGCCGTCTTCAAGTTGGAATGTACATTTTAAAGTGCAGACTAGACACTAAAATAAGGATAAAACCTACTTTGAGCCCTTTACCTTAATAAATTTATAGGTTTTAGCCCCTTACCTTATACTATGATACTTTTAACTCTTTACCTTAATAAGTTTATAGATTTTAATCCCTCACCTTATAATATGACACTTTTAACCAGTGTTGTTAATTTC